CATTTCTAGATTTATGTGTGTCATCCTTGCGCAGGGGCCATGCTAATCACCCTTCTCTGTGGCGTTCCAATTTTAACGGATGTCCCGAAGGACAAAAAAATCTCTATCTAGTATTTACTCCCTCTGGGCATTTTACTTGGACGTTCCACCTTTCTTGAGCCGAAATCTTCAGGTCCTGCTGGCGGGATCCCCATAAGCGCAGGCCGCAATTGCGGCCAGGAGCGTCTAAAATTAAATGCCCAAAGGAGGAGTGTTTTATTTCAACCTTGTCAAAAGACAACTTGATGATCCAAACTCAACTGAAATAGCAGTATCAAAATCACACGTGGTTTTCTGTCTTTATAGTAAGTTTATATGTTTCCAATTTCTTCAAAAACCAGTTCTGCTAACAAATGGAGACACTTTTCAGCCCAAAAACAACAAAAACAACAACAACAACTTCATGCACATTCTCAATGTCAAAAAAAGAACCCAAGTACGATATCAAAATGTACGGCGCGTCCTCTCCATCATCGATATCATACGGACACTGCCACACTTCCACACTTCCCCACCTCACCCCCGAGAAAAAGAGGGGGAAAAAAAAAAAAAGTCCGTATCTTGACCTGATGCGGACTGTTTTTTTTTTTTTTTTTTTTTGGGGGGGGGGGGGGGGGGGGGGGGGGGGGGAGAAGAGAGGATGACATCAGTCTGGTGTGCTGGCGGTGTGGATGCGGGCAAACCACCGCTAGCAGCCGAGGCCTGATGGCTCCAGTGTATGCATTGGTGGGGAGCAGCACCTGCCAGGAATCGGCGGGCCCAGCGTCCCATTCTATAAACGCAGTCTCTTTCTTTATCTGTCTGTCCATCTTCATTACTTCGCACAGAGAGAGCAGCCCGGCCGGCGATCTTCGGCGTCCAAGAGAGATTCTATTCGACGATCTTCAGTATCTGAGCTGGATACGGACGCTTTCTTTCGTCTTCATCCTTTCCATATGTCTTTCTTCGTTCTCTCAGAAAGACTCTTCTTCCTTTTCTCTCTTGATCTGTGTCGGTTATCCGTATCTTTCTGTTGTCCATCGATCTTCGGCTTCTTTTTTTTTTTTTTTTCCACACATAGTAGTTTATAGGTCCGTACACACATCTGGGTCACAAAGGGCCCCCTCGGTGCGAGCACGGATTCGACCCGGCGACCTCAGCCCCCAAGAGCACATTCAACAATCATTTGGTAGATTATCCACGTCCTCGCAAACTCAGCTTTTTGGTGGGGTTTTGTATCTCTTGCTGGTATTTGTTTGGTAATCCAGATAATTACAGGCATTTTTTCGGCAATGCATTATATACGCCTCATGTAGATTTAGCTTTCTACAGTGTAGAACAACCACTTATCGTACCCACTACAGCCTCATGGGACATGGTGTTCAGAAGAAAGTGGAAGCATGCCGGCCGTGATACCCACCCCACCCGTCCCGTGCAAACGGCTCAAGTGTCCAACTCGACACACACAGCACACACACCATCACACGGACGCAGACGCGGCAATTCTCACACAGTGCGCTCCAATCACCACGTGACCCTACCGCAAGTACACACAGAAAGATCTGCCCGACGATCGTCGGCAGCTAAACGAGAGATCTTTTCGGACGATCTTCGTTAACAGACCGAGATACGTTAGCATGGCCCCTGCGCAAGGATGACACGGATAAATCGAGAAATGGTCCATTTTCTTATTTAAAAAAAAAAAAACGAGATACGTTAGCATGGCCCCTGCGCAAGAATGACACGGATAAATCGAGAAATGGTCCATTTTTTTATTAAAAAAAAAAAAAACGAGTTATAATTGCACGACGGGACAAGAAGCAGTTTGCAATTGCACTTCTGGCACGGTACCTGGGCAGAAAGCTGGGTTGTATACATTGCCCCGACTACAATTCGGACGCATTTTCTACTAACCACTAGTACTATGCCAAAACTTTCAATCAACGGTCGAAGCCTCTCCGCTGCATGCAGATTACCGCGGAGTTTTTTTTTTCTTTCTTTTCTTTATCTGTCCTTCGACATCTGCGTTATATTTCTCACACACACACACACATCTGCCCAGCGGTTTTCGCCATCTAAGAGAGAGATACCTGTTCGACGATCTCCGTTTCTTTTCTTCTTTTTTTTTCTTTTTTATTTTTGGAAACGATCTCCGTTATCGAATCGACATAGGGACTCTTTTTTTCAACCTGCTCGACGATCTCCGTTTCTTTTCTTCTTTTTTTTTCTTTTTTTTCTTTTTTTTTTGGAAACGATCTCCGTTATCGAATCGGCACAGGGACTCTTTTTTTCACTCTCGAGTACATCTGACCCTCTTTTTGCCCTCGCGGATTTGCCCTGGCGGATTTGCACTGGCGGAGCGGATTTGCACTGGCGGATTTTACACTGGCGGATTTGCACTGGAGCGAAAAGAAGCTTTGCCGAACTGCGAGAGGCACAATTCTTTTTCCTTCTTTGCCTGGTGGCGACAGCCATTATGGTCCGGTCGCACTGTTCACTCGAAATATGGTGATTGGGTTTTATTGGGTTCTCATTTGTAGGAAATCTGCGAATTGGCTTAACCTGGGTTCTCATTTTTGGCTAGTAGAGAGGAATTACGTACGTCTTCATCTCTCCGTCGATTCTTCTTGTGTAAGTGATCGTACAGACCAGGTTCGGAGTCCCAACCTAATCGTATCTGCATCTGGTCGGAAAGGTAGCTTGTATACATTCATGATAGAATGGACACATCAGAAGTGGACCAATTGCATTGATTAAGAGTTAGATACGGACAGTATCCCTCTCTCTCTCTCTCTCTCTCTCTCTCTCGTCCCCCCCCCACACACACAGAGTTGGCCTCGCCTCAACCCCCCTTCTCTCTCCCGTCCTGCCTCTTCTTTTCCCTGTTATCTTTGTTTCTCCTCGTCCTGTTGCTGTCAATTGTCATACTCATTGCCATTCATTGCCGTGATCTCTCTCTCTCTCTCTCTCTCTCTCTCTCTCTCTCTCTCTCTCACACACACACACACACAAAAAAAAACAAAAACAAAAAAAAACAAAAACCGAGGAGATCACCATCTTCGTTATCTTCGCCATCCAAGCGAGACCGATCGACGATGTCTATCTGCGCTATTTACGAACAGAATCTCTTGCTTGATCCGTGCAAGTGGAAGCTCGTCCAATCATCCTTGCCCGAAAACAGCGCACCCTCATCACGGATCTGCCAGGGCGGCAAAATAGCTGTATACGTTCACGACGGGTCGTGGGATGATGGCAGTAACCAGTGCGGTCACAGAGAAAGTGATAGCGCCGTGGTTTAAAAGCTGGGGCGTCAACCCCTGCTTTAAATTTCGTTCTTTTTTTTTTTTTTTGAAGACCGGGGGACGGG